TTGAAGTGAGAAGTCAACTGCCGGTTAATAGACTTTCTTGACATATGAGTATACGCTGCCCAGGTGCGCAACGTGGGGGTAAGTCTATCGCACACCCCAAAACAAGTGCAGAGAAGAGCATGAAGACGCCTGCAGCACTGATCGCCCGAACAGGGACTCGAACCCTGGACCCTCAGATTAAAAGTCTGATGCTCTACCGACTGAGCTATCCGGACCCTCCGTCAGACATCAGTATGGTTTGTTTCCTATTGACTTGTCAACACAAATTCAAGTTTCCACACTTACATGGAGACAATTATTTCTGGCTTTGTATAGGTTAAACGAGGGTTAAATACAAATTTTGTGGGAAGGCATGTAAAATAAATCTATTTCCCAATAAACAATGTCTGCTTCAGGGTATCTGACATTTGAATATGACTCGAGATTAGGTTTTTGGTCTGAATCTGTTGTACCAACAGTTCCTTCCGCAGGTAATAAAATTCAACACATTCGCCGTATTAGAGAAGAAAGACATATCTTATTTAAAAATTTATCAGTAAAATCTTAAGGGCTTACTATGGTTAAGCAAAATGACTATTAGCAAAATATTAGAATAGCAAAATTAACATGAATTCCTCAGCTTTTAAATGATGAACATATTAATTTCGAAGGTATTTGTAATCATTAAAGAAATCAATGAAGCATCATAAGGCAAGAAGCCAAAATTTAAATGAAAGAGCATCCATTTGGACTAGGCATTTTGAAGCGAGCGATGACCATTGGAATGCTGTGGCATCATGACAGAACGGTATTAGGAGTTCTTGTGATCTCATCAAACAACAAATCGAACCTTCTCATATTGGAATATCTCGAGTAGCATTCAGATTAATTGAAATAAGCTCTAGCAGCAAATGGAACCCATAGACTGTTCTCGTTCTTGTTATGTAGTGATACTGAACTTTGTTACAAATATCAATATAGTATTAGAATCATTTACCAATTCAATCTGCTTATCATGATATTGTAACTTTAGGGAGATAAGGTAAATTATAGAGATGTTAATATGTCATTTATAATCAGAGCTTATGACAAAAAACAATTCATTAACACATAACGGATTGATTTGAAATTTTGCGACTTTGGATGTATACATCTCTTTCTTGATTCCAAACTAATTGGAACTGGTTATGGAGATATATCAGCTATTTATTTATATCAATTGACTGGCTTCATGATAGTTGTCATTAGCCCTTTAGTTGACTTTGGGCTTCAAAGAGGGGAGAAGCAGACAAAGTCACAAAAGTAAAGTGGGAGGGGTGTGCAGATGCAAAAGAGACAGACACAAAGGTAAAATGAGGTGAGTACTGTGGAAGTGGTCTAATATGACATACAGTGGGGTGATGGTAGTTTGAAGCCAGAAGTCAAGTGCCGGTTTATAGACTTTTTGCCGTATGAGTATACGTTGCCCAGGGTGCACCACGTGGAGGTAAGTCTATCGCGCACCCTCAGAAATATATTATTGAACTACCTTCTAAGTTTATTAACCTTGAAATTTTGGTCCTGACGTTTCCTTTGTTTAATCACGCCTTTTTCATAAACATGCTTTCACTCCAAAACGCGTGTTCGATGTTGGAATAATAAAATAGATTGTTATTGACTTTAAAGCCATCAGATGCTCACAACTGCTCAAGTTCAAGGACCAAGATGCTTCACGTACACCTTCACGAGTCCTATAAAAGTATTGTAATCTCTTCCATCTTCCCATTGAATGTGACATTTACTTTCATTCCACTGCAATATTATCCTTTTTTCATCCTTGGGAACAAATATATTTGCAGAATACGTGATATTGTCTGTAAATAGTTCGATCATGTTACTAGTCTGTTTCGGCGAACGGAATAATAGTATGAACTTTAAATAGAAAAGAAAACCCATAGAATCTTACCTGTCAGTATTGGAAGAAGTAGGGATTTGATGGGGTCGTTATTTTTGAATAACAAAGATCGAGTTCAAGTACAATAGGAATTTAGGTGAAATAGTAAGTAATAGACAAACTCAGAGCAAAGTTAGCACAAGATGAAATATTGGCCCGGATTTAAATGTGCTAGAACATAGGTTAGTAGTAACCATTTGTTCTCTATACTTGGAAATTATACCCTTCCCCCCTCAAATGGGTCCTAAATGTAAGAGGTTTCTCTCTTTTAATGAGACTGAAAGTCCATAGGAAACCTGAGTTTCCTAAAGTACCCTGTAGGGAAAACAGAAGCATAACGCTATTGTTTGTCGAGAGCGTAATCTTGAAAAATGTTTTTTCTTTTTTAATTTTCAAAATCAGCACTTCTACCCACTTTAGGCAATATCTATTGGGTACCATAATCACGGCAGTAGAAACCGGATTTTTATTCAATTGGCACAACTTTTGTCTCCTTCCACATGGCAATTAAACAGGGATATTAGAGTAAATTATTTATTACCAATGAGTATTTTCCGATAAGATGGAAATCAATTGGAAACAGATTGACGACTTCTATTCCACTGAAGTTTATTGAAGAGATGAAAGCATAAAATACCAGAAATAATTGGACCAATGTGTGCTAAAATGTATGAGAGCATTAATTAGGAATTAATAAAGTTAATCCGACCTCAGGCATTATTAACTAATTTACGACAACGGACGATATTTGGTTTTATTCCTACTATCTCCTCTTAGACACCAATCGAACGTAAATTAGATCTCCACTTAAATTCTGGACTTCAAAAGCTTAGTGATATCCAAAGTTATTGTAAATTGTACAAAAGTTACCTAGCTTTATGGTGTTATAGTGTAAAAAGCCTAATTTTAATAGTGCTTCCGCCAGAGAATTTAGGCTAAACTTACCAAAAGGAAAGTTAAATGCCCGTCGAACATCGGAGAAAAAGAAAGTCACCCACCTCTGAAGGGACCGGCTGATTCGAACATGGAAACCAAATGGCAAATTGAATTGCTTGAAGGTTCCATGTCCATTTAAGCAGTAAATGACTCCAAGAGTTGAAGCTGCATCTGATATTAATCAAATGAAAATAGTAATAAGGAGTTCAACAATTTTTATAAAATTAAAATTCAATATTTCCTTAGATACTGTTAAAAGTGCTGAAAGAGTGAACATGGCTTCTAAGGGCAATGACAAAAATTTTGGGTGGGAGAATTTCGATATCGATTTTGTACTTGATGGAATAGAAAAGAAAAACCCGCCTATGAATTTTAGTTAACGAACAAGAATTATTTATTTATTGAGATGAGAAAATGAAATAAAATTAATGGTTAAAATCCATCAGCTTCCATTTTTGAAATGATGTTGACAAACTTACCGGCAAACCCCAAGAGTTCGTAAGTTTGAAAAAATTGAATTGGGAAAAGTGTGCAAGCAAATTCACTTATAAACAGTGAGATGACGCTCGAAAAAATGACAACAATAAATAGGTGAACTATCAGATCCCATCCTGGCAGTCGTCGTTCAAATATCACTACATATCGAAGGAAAAGAGTCAAAGCGTAATTCAGATGCCATTCATCTTTGTGAGTTATAACTGCGAGTAACAGTCGGTTTATGTTGCCATTCAGAAAAAAATTTTGTGAAGTGATCGCAATCTGAAAAGAATATAATTTTAATATTTGAACGTGAGGCTTTACTTTTGGGGCTAGGATGCACAAACCACATAAATGAGCTGTTACCAGAAATATGGTGAAAGCGAATGTGAAAGTATAAATTTTTGCCACACTTTTGATATGTAGAAAACACTGCAATGAAAGGAGAATAACTGATATCACAAGGTATGAAACCTCCTGATTATTATTTCTGAAATTTCACGAGAATCGATAATATTGCAAATTACCTATTCATTATTGGAGCAATGCTGAAGGCGCATATAAGGAAAGGTGATATTTGAGGATAATAGGCGACTCGATTACGATTTTCTTATTATACGACTATAGATGATTGTATTATTAAATAAGTTAAAGTGAATGCGAAGTTAAGAGTTATTAAAATATGTTATTGGAAAAACGATTAAGAGAGCAATAAATTAACAATGGAAGTAAATTTTACACTGAAAGAAATAGATTTTAAGGTTACAAAATTTTACGTCACGAAAACATATTACGAGTTTCAAATTTCTGGGATCTTATTAGGGCAAAAAAGATATCTGACAATTTTTCAAAGAAAATGAAAACTATAATTATAGTTAAAAACATATGACATTTTTCGTCATATATAAAATAATCTTATCGCTTTCACAAAATCAACGCTGTTTATTTTTTAGCGAATTACCAATTTTTGCTCTCCAAAACATCAATTTTCTAAATTAAAATAAATTAATTATTATTTTAAGATTGCAACTACAATGTTTTTCACTAATTTTAATTGCGCGTAAATAATAACCGAAACAAGGTCATAAACGCAATGTTAAATATCTCGCTTCTGAATTAAATTAAATAATATAAATGCGGAATATAACGTTTTGGATATTTTTATGCTTAGTGATTTTTTTTAATTCTTCTTCATGCCGCAAAGTCTATGATGAAATTCCCGATAAGAACTTGTCCCATTGTTCTAGAAAACTAAACGTCACTTCTGAAGTTGGTTGTTCATCAAAATATCCGAGTAGTATCGGCGAATTGATTATAGAAGATGATTTGAACAGTTTAAAAGAGTCTGTTAAGAATGCTTCCTCAGATTTAATGGTTGTAATTCCACTTGAATTATTCATAAACAAGGACTTAACTGAATTTCTTCGTAATTCTGAGAGGGTTTCCGGGCTACTTGTATTTTCTCCAAATTTCCCAAACTCAACTGCATTTGTATCAAATTTTTCTGAAAATAACCACTGTCCAAACGGTAATTTTACATTCTACAGTGATAGTCATAACATCTGCGGTAATAAATTGAGTTGGAATCCGTATGCCTCCGATTATGCCACGACTTCTTGGCCTTTTCCAGTTGTTCTTGCCGAGGGCAATAATACAGAAACTTGGAACAAAATTGTCAAGTGTCATAGTGTGTATAATAAGGCGCCAATTGACGATACTCGCTGCATGATGGAGATTGGAAATTTCATGTCTGCCGTGCTTTCGTCTCAAAAGTGTTACGATCGTGAGTCGTTGCAGAGTATGCACTTGAGTGTAAGTTAATTCTATGTTAATCTCTCCCGGTTAGTTAACCTCTTCTTATTGCGAGGAAGTCAGCGGTGTAAATCTAGCTCTTCGTGCTCGAAATACTACGGTCTCGGAAGGTTCGGATTCCACCAGAGTGGATCCAACAATTCTTGTGATTTCGCGAATTGATGCACTGAGTATGTTTGATAGAAGTGCATCTTCGGCTCTCTCAGTTCTTCCTGCTGTCAGTGTTATAATTTCTGCTGCTGCGCATTTGCTCAATCAGGCGGATGTTAAGGTAATATAATTTTGTTTTGTCGTTTAATTCTATTTCTAATCGAATATTACTGTTTGGTTAAATTTCGTTGTGAGTGGACTTTTAAGAAAATGTTTGCAAATCCTCCTACTTTTTACCATTTAAAGCATTTAATGACGTGTGAACACAAATTTGCCACCGTCACGGAGTTAATATTCAGGAATCTTCAAGTTGAGAACACTGCTAAGGATGATTTTGAGAATGGCATTTGAAGTGTGCAGTGGTGATGTGCCTAGCATGTAGGTCTGTCATAGATGTTGTTATGTGTTCAATTCCCCATTGCCTGCACATTGGGTAATCGAATTGTTTAATCGCATTGATCAATCTCGAGGGTATCCCGCTCTGTATATCCACGTATTGCTCATCTACTGGCTCATACTTTTGCCTCTAACTGTTAATGGTTCATTACTAAACAAAATGGACAAATCTGCCAACTGTCTCTCACTCTCCCGTTCGTTCATATTTTTCCAACCCAACGCTTAGTCTTCTCGTTGAAGGCTTGTTCAAATTGAGAAGATCATGAGCTCCAAGGTGGATATTTAGCCTAACTTACCTTAGCAATAATTACTTTTGTGTTTTAAAATTTTCTGCACTAAAATTACAAAATATTTAAAGTGTCTGTTATTAAATGTTTCTCTAAATGAATTAATATCACAGTCCGGTAGGCTTCACAAGAACCTCCTTTTCGTCCTCTTGGACAATGAGGCATTGAGCTTCACGGGCTCTCAACGCTTCTTCTTCGACCTTACTCATGATCGATTGGCCCGCTCCTCTGGTCTCCCATTCAAACCTGATTCCATCGAATCCATTATCGAGTTAGCCGGCATTGGTCTACCTCAAACTACAGCTGCAAACGACGCACCCATATATTACCTCCTCTCTGATCCTAATGTCACCCAATATTTCCATCAAGAAGAAGCTACTTCGTCTCTGTGGAGGACATTAAACGCATCAGCAAATGGTGGAGTTATTCTTTTGAACGGCAGTTCATCTGTTGAAACAACAATTCTACCACCGAGTGCATCCTTACAAGCCCTGCTACGGTTTTTTATTAATCGAAAGCTCCCAATTAGTCATACCATCATTTCTGATCGGCCTGCTGGGCCACCCTTTGCGGATTACTTTCTTGACTCCTTCCTGGATACGCAATGGCCAGCCCGAAATGCCTCGGATGACTATCTCAATCGATTGGCGAATCTCCTCGCTGATGCTCTCCACAGAGTGAGTTGGCTGCCCTATATTTATTTGAACTTAATATTAGCCAACTTGTAACAATCACTAGGTACAGAAGAACGAAGGAGAAGGGAGAGTACTTTGATGGTTAACGGCATCGGTGATATATACGCTGATTGGTGTAACTATTCATTGTTGAGATGGTTTAGGGAGCTAAGAGCTGGTTAGTGGAGCTAAAACATGAATTAGACTGTCTTAAAGCGTATAAGATTGCTTTCCGTTAGGTTGAGTTACTTAAAACTTGTCTTGGTACTGGTATGGTCTTGGAAGAAGAAAAATTTCCTGTAACTCAAACGAAGGACATAGTATTCTCGTGTTATTAATGAAATAATCTCATATTTACAAACGGCGTTATCTAATTGATTTGATACTAAGCAGCTGTTGCCATTTGATTGCCTCAGTCTTCACCGAAGAGTTATTTAAGTGTCTATATCGACTAAATTTGACGAATTATTTTCCTACAGTTGGTTGTGGGAAATGCATCACAACCGATTTCAGAACCGATAAGTGGAGTGAAACCCGGTGAATTGATGAATTGCTTCCTGAAAGATCCTGGTTGCGAGCTCCTACGGTTGGTAAGTGCACGCTATTTTAAAGTTTCCATGTCTCCAATATATGTCATGCCTCATACTTGTTACTTAATTTCTTAAAGCATTTGGAGCCTGAGGTGGTTGATTTCTTGCTGAGTCTACGCAGGCCCATCCCAATGCAGACCTACGACGCGGTTGACGGCCGGGCCTGGCGAGTTTCCCATGTTGCGTCTCATCTCTTAATGGGCCTCACCGGTGAACGCCTTAAGGAATGCCCACCTAAGGAGGAGTATGGAGCGTTTACCTACATGTATGGATGTAAGTTCCAATGGTTTCCTTGTTATCATTTTCGTTAGCGGTCGGAATTCTCCTGTAATCTAGCTTTAATCAGAGCATTGTTGAGCAGATATTTTGGTTGTGCAACTGGTCAATTATTTGCTAGTATTTTTTTGAGATACTTTGGAAAGCATCTCCTACTTCAATAGCAGCAAGGAATCTGCGTTCTCGTGCTCTCCACAAACAGTCTTTACTTCTAATTTGATTGTGAGGTTTTCTGAAGTGGGCGTTCTACAGGCACACCAATGTGATGGGTTGGCCTAGTTAGAAACTGAAGGTCACCATGATGGTTGGACTGTTTGACTTCTTCAACATCACCTTCTTCACCTTCGTGACTTTACTTCACTCCCAAGGAAGAGCGTGGTAGGGCAATAATGGAAAGCAACTTTCTTTTGAATTACAGTGGACTACTTAATTAACTCAAAACGACAAGGAGGCGGCACTTTGTATAACCAGCCGATCAATGACCTTTTTCAGCGAGTGTAGTGGCCTACGGCATTTTTTGCCCTTCAAATTGTATTGCTTGAGATGTTGAGAGAGTACTTTGTTAGAGCATATGGCTGTCCAGTTGTGGGCTATTTGCTAGAATACATTCGTGGGATTTTTTTCCTTTGGTGAAATGAAATTTCCCACAATTTTGATTATGCTGCCCATAATTGTGAAACCGAAGTGTAGGGAAATGTGCTTGGAGGGGGGAGGAGGAGGGGAGCACTGTTCCCCATTCATGCGGGAAACGCATAAATTTGCTCGAGAGTTACTGAACTTCACCTTGGTTTTTTTGTTTTGCAGACTACAATGGTTCATGGTGGTGTTACCGCAGTTTGGTGGAGGCGGGAACTTCCTTTTTCTTCCTTGAAAACGACAAAGTGGCAGCTCCTGGTTGGGTTCGATCCACTCCATACCAGGGTCGTCGCTACGTGCGTCTCTTCCGTTCCTCCTCGCCCTCCAACGACATGGTCGCTCTGGTTGTAGGTATCTTCTTAACTCTCACTACGGCTATTCTTGCCTATTTTGGACGACGGTACTCTCAACAGCTTTTTGTTCAACCCTGTGACCTACCACAAACCCGACGTGGATGTTAATTTCTGTGCAATGTATTTCTTAATTCAATAATGCGTTACTTGAGTAACTGTGAATCCAATTTTTCACATGAAACAGAGTTATCAATGAATAACTAATCTTTAAGAGAGATGATTAAGTCGCAAGTGTTCACTCCCGAATCATATCTTAAAAATTTCTGCTTATACTAGCAGATTCTCCACAGCTCTATTAGTTCGTAGGTTGGAGTGAGACTTGAGCATCACCAAAATTTGATAGGCGGTACAAGGTGATCGAAAATCTACTAGAGGAAGCGGAGATAGCCTTGCTACGGGCTACGGGAGAGATTTTAAACTACCACTAAATTCAGTTAGGAGGGAAATGACACGTCCGCCAGTTGATAAAAGCTGAAGATACCACTTAAGAACAAGTCCAATTCGTAGATCAATCTCGTATAGTGATAAGAAAAGAGGCAGACGCAAATTACAACAGAGAAAGGTAGTCTATTTATTTAAAACGAAATGGCAAGATTGCCTCTTCGCAAGCACCACAATTTCACTAAACTCTGAAAAAAAAGGAATGGACAAATGTGGAGACGATGAGAGTGTTAGGACTTGGCAGCAGCAGCAGCTCGAGATTGTTGGGGCTTTGACTTGCTCTTCGCAGTCTGCACTGACTGGATAAGAAGGTTATTCTCAGCAAGGACTTTGAAGTATTCAATGATAAAAGGAAGGTAATTGTGCCTTCGACGATTATTCTCACTTCGTTGTTCTGCTAACTTAGCCTTTTCGGCGTAGATATTGCAGTCATTTTGGGAAATAAGACTCTTATCAACCTAAAACGAGCCTCATACAGAATAAAATATGGCAAAAAAAGAAATAGAAGACCACGCAGAGGTGACTCACGGGAGGATTCGCAACATATTTGAGGGCAAGTTTTTGGTACATCTGCAAACGACTTGGAACAAGAGCCATAAGATTAAATTTTCCGTCCAAGCATTCACTCATTCGTGTGTTTATGACAGGCAATGCAACATCCAACCAGGAGGAGCCCTCATTAATTGTTGCTACACGGACAGGACTCGGTTTTAGCCCATCAAGTTCATACACTGCACCGTTAATAGGAACAAATCCAACAAAATGATAAACATCCTCAGGTCTGACCTGGTTACTTTGGTCGACCTCAAAAACCTGGGGCCTATTCAAGAAACATCATAGGACAATTAAATAATGCCATACCGAGCGAAACTGTTATGCGTGAGACGCAATTTCTCACAATCCGATAACGCAGTGCCTTTCATCTACAATTGGAATAATTATAATACAATGCTCTTACATGACTATCAAAATCTGCAACAAACGACTTGAAATCTGTTAACGTGGTCCCAAGTTTTAGATTCGGGGAAGATACGTTGAAAAGAACGTTTATAAGGGCTTGAGTAGCACAGGCGTTATTGATAACCTGCTTTGCAAAAAATATTGAGTTATCGTCAACAAAATCAAGAGGTTTTGATTCCTTCTTCTGATCATTTCCCCACTGAAATAGAAAAATAAGCCCCAGAGCATCCTTGAAGAATTCTGTATTTTGAGTGTCATAGACTTCAATACACTCTAAACCATCGGCACCTGAAAAAACTTAGACCTGATATTTTTCATACCAAAACCGGCCATTAATTCATTAAATACCCCCGGATCGCTTTCAATAAGGCACCAATTTCCTGCTACACTCATGATTATAGTCAAACAGGTTAATATTTGTTGGCTGAAATGGATTGAATAAATCATAACAGTTGTTAGTTTTATAACTATGAATATGGTATATTTATACGGGGTTCGGAGGATACTATTGAGAATAATTTACGATTTCCAAATTTTATACTTTACAGTAATTGAAATCATTAGCAGTTGACTCAAATTTCAACCTCCAATTATAATATTAGTAAACTCAAATTGTAGGTGCATTGAAAATTTTTAAAATGATATTTAACGAAATGATCAAATTATTGTGTTGTAAAAGAAC